GAACCGAACCGAACCGAACCGAACCGAAACCGAATGGTTCCAAAATTATATTTGGAACCGACGGGTCCATTTACTAAATACCCGAAAATTTTTGGAACCGAAAAAAACCGAACCGAACCGAACCGAACCGACCCACGCCCACCCCTAGACCAAATTACCTTGTAAATAAAACACCATAACCCAATTTTTTAAGCGATCCGATTAGGCTTGTGCGTGATTTGGTTTGGGTCGATTTCGATTTCAACTCGAAACCAAACCAAAATCAAATTAATCGGTTTGGGTACCTCTTAAACCAAATTGACCCAAACCAAATCAGTTTGGCTGGGTTATTCGGTTCGAACTTTTAGTCCAAATTTAATTCTTAAAAAAAAAATTGTCTAAATTTTTGGTTCCCTTAGATTACAAGAACTAAAATAAATAAATAACATTATATTGCAAGAACTATTAAGTAACAAATAAAATCAGGTTAATAGAGACAGATTAACTGAAATCTTCAGAATTTTGTTGTTTTTTATGCATTATGTAGCCTGACTACCTAAGGAGGGAAAAAATATCTAGGATAACATAATAAACTTGTGAAAGAGAATTTTCAGTGCTATTACTTATTGGCAACATCATAGATTGAATGGAATCAAGATATGAGATTATGGCTTCTGATTTTTATTTTTCTTAAAAGGAGAAAAAAAAACATAAAAGATAAATCACGATCAGATTGCGGAAAGCAACCAATAAATGGCGACCACGGGTGGACGACAGTTTGCTTACCACGGTCACCCCCAGGAACTTTCAGCATTTTACACGTTGAAGCTTGTTTCAAGTTTTTTATGGTTTTGGTCCTTTTGATTCAAATCTTCAAAATTGACCCCATAAGTTTCAGAAGCTTCTATATTAGGTCTCTCGAACCTCCATAATCATCCAACATTGGTCCTTCTTAAGTTTCGAAATAGTCCTCAAAGTTTCAATATTTCACTCGCGAAAATCATCATTTTCATCAAATTTCTCAATAAAAACTGTAAAATGATGAATATATCTCATATTTAAATAAAACAAAAAGGAGATAATGGTGGCGGTTGTGGCCGTGGGAGGAAAAAGAAATAGATTTCTTTTATTATCATGGGTCCCACCCATGTGAGTGTGTGTAAAACCCATGTGAAACTTATTTATGTACATATGGCTTTGTTCATTTGATTATGTCTTGTCCAACACACCCTCTAGTAATTCACCACAATTTCAACATTTTATTGCGAAAATCATCATTTTCATCAAATTTCTCAATAAAAACTGTAAAATGATGAATATATCTTATATTTAAATAAAACAAAAAGGAGATAATGGTGGCGGTTGTGGCAGTGGGAGGAAAAGGAAATAGATTTCTTTTATTATCATGGGTCCCACCCATGTGAGTGTGTGTAAAACCCATGTGAAACTTATTTATGTACATATGGCTTTGTTCATTTGATTATGTCTTCCTTGTCCAACACACCCTCTAGTAATTGTAAATTCAGACTTTAAAACTTGGTCATATGAAAAAGTAAATTGACGACTGCTTTGATTGATTCGATATTCATGAGCCTCTAATCATCCTCGCAAATTCTAAAATGTCATAGACAAAGATGTTGCCAAAATTTCTCCACTTGGTGCCATCTTATCCTCGTACATGTAAAATATTCTGAATTCTTACTTCTCCAACTTCTCACTCAAAGATTTCAAATGTTCACTTTCTTTTGACCTGAGTAAGTAGTATAGTGAATTTTGCACTCCTCTTACAAATTGTTTCCTTGAATATCAATTGCTTGATAATTTGGAAGAGCGTATTTTAACTTTTTTGTTTCTTTTTCTTCCGGAAATCTCTTTGTACTTCAGATGATTTCATTTTTTGGGTCGTACTCCGTCAACACTCCATAATTCTTGAGTTTTCAAGACACAATTTCATCATGTTAATCCAGTAGTCAAATTTTTCCCGATTCAAACGAGGCACGAGAGAAACAAGATTGTTGTTAGACAAGGTTAATCTTTTTTGGTCGTGAAACTAGTTTGATGTGACGATACTATCTTCTAGTAATCTTCTCAAATCTCAACCTACTCTGTCACTTATTGAAACTCTATGAGACATTTGGCTTAATTCCAATAGTCAAAGTTCATGTATTTGCGCATAGAATTTTTCCGAGGTAATTCAACAAACGCATAAAAAGATTTCTTATTCATGTATACAAATCCTAAGCAAGTATAACAACCTAAAGAAGAAAAAAACAAAGGAATGGGGAGATGGGGCATTGCATCGAATCGATCACATGGCAAAACCATTTATTTCATTATTCGGTAGTAGAGGAATGTAACTATGGTTACATGTTGTTCGAGAGCTTAGATGATTTGCCAAATACATCATAAACATAAAGAGTATATTCCAAAACAAAATGTCCCGCAGAATCGTCGGAATAAATACTCGTAATGGCATATCCTCGTGCAATTCGGAAAATACCAGTGCCACCAACAATGGCATATTCACGATATGTTTGGGATATAGGATTTCTTCCCAACAACCAAATTGTGCTCCCATTGTAAATGCCCGACTTGAATACAACGTTGAAGTTCATAAGTGGTGCTACTTCTTTGAAGTCTGCGAAAGTAATTTGGCCCTGAACCTGTCCGAGTATCGTTGAATTGGCATCGGGCTTGGCTGTCATTTGCTCATCAATGACTCTAACTAGGCCGAATAATGTGGGCGAAGTGGAAGTGATATTGGATCTTGCCACTTCCCAAACAGTTTGATTGGGGCCACTTACTATGTCTTGAACATAAAAATGAATTTTGGTTACTTTATGGGCATCGGCAAAGACCCCTAACATGGCTAAGATAAATACACAAAGAACTGAAATTATGCTGAGCTTTCCCATGCTAACTTCGATTCTTTCTCAATGAGCAAATTCTTGTACATCAGAAGCCCACAATATATAGGGAAACTGACAAGGAAAAGATAATGTATAGAAAATATCCATTTGCAACAAGTTCAAGAATTAGCTCCCGTTTGAACTAAAAAGTTAGATTAAAATTCAAATCAAAGTCAATATTTAATTTTAATAAAACATTTTATGGATCCACAACTTTTCAACCATACATTTCATTGGCTTTTATCAAAATCTATTAAAAATTCGATTTTTATCTAAAACCTACTGGGCTTAAATTTTTTTTTTTTTCCTTTCATGCGTACTTTAGGAACCGAAGTTGACTGGTTAGGATCTGGTTCGGTCTAATCCTAGGAGCTACTGCAACATGTTCATATAACGTTAGTGCAAGATTTGCATTATAAAGTATATAATACATAAAACTGGGTTTTGACAGGTTGTCTTAACCACGATATTAATTTGATAAGAGTTTTTTATTGAGTAGTTCAACCGTCGCCGGAGTTTTTTAAAAATAAGTAAGACTCTGTGTTTTTTGTTATCGAGGAAGGGCTGGTGGGTGTGTTTCGGGAGTAGGGCTAAGAAAAATTGCAGTCACATGTGAGAGAGAGAGAGAGAGAGATGAATATTTTAGGGCAAAATTTTAGCGCGCATGCATACTTGCTATCCTGGTGTCACTTATATAATGAATAAATACTTATCATAATATGTTTTTATTTGTTTCAAATGTCACGAAAATGAGGACTCCAATATATATGATTATACGTAGAACTTTATTGCTGACCAAGTACGAATAAAGCAAATATTAAATTTATCATTTACAATATTCAACTCTTATCACAAAAAGCTTTCATAATATTGTGCTAACTTTATAGCTACACTTGTAGTCTAATGTAGTCATCTTGACAGTAGTACTTGAGTTTTAATTGGATTTAAATCTCGTACGAAATTTCATCACGTGGATGAAGATCATTGTATTTGTGTAAATATCTTATGGTAGGTTGTAATTCTAATTTTGATGTTGATGACATTATATTGGCTAAACATGATAAGAGTGTATTAAGACCATTTTGAAATTGTTGTCTTTAATCTTTGAGACGAAGAATATATGTTTAGCAAATTGTACATTTTGTGTTAAAAAAATATTCTACAAGAGTTGTATACTATAAAGATTTTACAATATTTATAACTGTAGAATTGTTACCTTAATGATACTCATATGTCGAAAGGAGACAATATGAGTCTTTATATATGTTCAAGAACTTCATAAGTGCACAAAACAAATATTTAGAGAACTATGTCTAGTACGATTAAGAGTTAGAAGTATCTTATGGTGTATACTTGTTCTAATATTTGTCAGGTCACGTATCTAGTCAGTATGTATTGATGTTATCTTTAGAAAGTGTATTGTGATACCTGAAGGGTGCTGCTTTAATTACCTTGTTTTTTGTCGAAGGAATAACTTGTGATTAGAATATATATGCAAATGTCGACTAAGGATTAGAGTTAGTTAAGCACAATAGTTATTAGACTTGTGCTATCTTGCTATATAGAGTGACAAGAAGCATATCACTTGTGATCGGAATATATATATAAATGTCGATTAAGGATGAGAGTTAGTCAATAACTATAGTTGTTAACCTTGTGCAAACTTTCTATATAGAGTGGCAAGAGGTACATCTTGTAGTATATATCTTGACAGTTGAAGAAATTGTTTGATATAGATGTATTGGGCATCTAATAATACTAGTTGAGAATATGATATACATGATAATTATACAAGTATCTCATGTGTTGAAGATCTCAAGTATCACGATGGAGCCAACTACTTGATGGTATTTTTGTGAGAGACATTGGCAAAGAAAATGTTTTTGCGATATAACTATATAAATGATTATATAAAATTGTTATATTCTGAAGATGTCTAGAGATATATTTGTTGGTAATATCAAATATCTAAAATTGAATAGAATATGACATTTAGTGTATTAGAAAACTCTTTATTTAGTTTTGTGTGCCCATAGATGAATAATTTTGAGTTCATGTATAATTTATCGATGGAATTACGAGATAATGATTTGCATGCACGTATAAAGTATGTTGAACATGTTGAGATTTGTTCACTCACATGAACATTCACCTCAGACACTTTGAGGCGTGCTGAGCGACCACCTTGATGAGATATCAGATAAGATTACAACAAGTAATTGAAATAGATTTCAATATCCATTAAACCTATTTAGTAATTAGATCGAGTTCTCGATTTGAGATTCTCTAAATGAATAAATATAAGGAGAACTCAAGTTAGATATTGAGGAATATGTGTTATTTATTTATAAAAAAAAATATGACATAAGCCTTAAGAAAGGGAGAAAACATCATAGCACGTATTTCGTACCACGTGTGCTTTTACGATTAATATTGGGTCAATGAGGAAATGGATCTCTACTTCCTCAGTATGTGAGACCTTGAGGTTTACATAACCTCATATATACCTTTATGCCTTTTTGTTTCTTTTACTTCTGAAAATCTCTTTGTACTTCAGGTAATTTGATTTCTTGGTTGCACTCCAACACTCCATAAATCTTTAGTTTTCATGACACAATTTCATTTTATTACTCCAATAGTAAAAATTTTCTTGATTGATAGACACAATTTATCATTTTTTTTTTTTTGTTTATGTAACTAGTTTTATGGGACTATTCCATCTTCAAACTAGGCAATCTTCTCAACCTACTCCGTCACGTATAGAAATTCTATGATACATTAATTGACAAAATTCCAATAGTCAAAAGTGATGCATGTATTTGCAAATTGAATTTTTCAGAGATAATTCAACAAACACTTGAAAGATTTCTTATTCATATATCCAAATCCTAAGCGTAGGACAACATAACAAGAAGAAAAGAACCCACAGAATGGGGCATTGCACGGCATCGATCCCATTGCAAAACCTTTTACATGTTGGAGAGCTTAGATGATTTGCCAAATACCTCATAAACAACATAAAGAGTATATTCCAAAACAAAATATCCCGGGTGAGTATAGGAATAAATACTCGTAATGGCATATCCTTGTGCCATTCGGAAAATACCAGTGCCACCAACAATGGCATATTCATGATATGTATCGGCTATAGGATTTCTTCCCAACAAACAAATTGTGCTGCCATTGTAAATGCCCGACTTGAATACAACGTTGAAGTTCATAAGCGGTGCCATTTCTTCCAAGTCTGAGAAAGTAATTTGGCCCTGAACCCGTCCGATTTTCGTTGAATTGGCTTCGGGCTTGGCTGTTAATAGGTTATCAATGATTCTAACTAGGCCAAATAACGTGGGCGAAGTGGAAGTCATTTCGATACTTGCCACATCCCAAACAGTTTGATTGGGGCCAGTTAATATGTCTTGAACATAAAAATGAATTTTGGTTTCTTTATGGGCATTGGCAAAGACCCCTAACGTGGCTAAGATAAATAGACAGAGCATTGAAATTGTACTGAGCTTTTCCATCCTAACTTTGATTCTCTCTTAGGGAGCAAACTCTTGTATATCTGAAGCCACAATATATTGGGGAACTGCCGAGGAAAAAACAAAAATGTATAAATGGTATTTACATATCTGTCAAGAAGATGTCAATATACTTATTCGTGCACCCCAAAACCAATGTGATGTGGATGTCTCCGTTGGCAATGAATAAATACCAAAAAAGTAGCAGGTGGATCTAATAAAAAATAAGTACGCAAGCAAAAATTGGGCACAAGGAGGACGTCATTCCTACCATTTTCCATCTTTGATAGTGTTTGATGTCCAAAATTTTCCCTGCCAATTGTGGAAAAAGTTTTCACCTCACGCGTCATTTTCTAGGCGTGAAGTGAAATGATGGGAAAATCGAATTCTCACTTTTTTTTTTTTTGACAATAGAAATAAATTTCATAACCAATTGTTAAAAAAAAAAAAATTCACTTTAATGGACAATTTCTATGTAAAACAAAACTAAACGAATACTAAACTTTGATGAAAAAAATGAATTTTGAGGAAATTTTATTTTATTATTATTATTATTTTTTTATTTTTTATTTTTTTTATTTTTTAAACAAAGCCAAACGAATATAAAAACATCCAAAATTTTAAAATTTTTCGGGTGAAAACTTATATCGATCAAACGCACTTAATTAACAATTCCTTAAAAAACAAGTTCTAGACAATTACTTTATCTGTAATTCATTTTCTTTCCACCCATTTTCCACCATTGCAATCAAACTGAATTGCAAATGAGTAATGTGAGTTTAGTCAATTATTTAACTGTTGAATAAAACAAAATCCGAGTGAGCATGAAAACATATTCACTAGAATAATGCTATCTAGCATCAAGGTGCTACAACACCTGTGTATGTGACGTTAATTGATAAGATCAATGAAATGTAGAATTTAATAATTCATTTAATTATATATCTATTTTAATGCTATATTAGTGTCATCGCCAAGCATCTCACTTCATCGTCCATTTAAGGTCATTGTCAGCACCACACTGGGGGTTAAAAATCTGAATGGCTATTGAATTTTACATAAAACTATTCAGTGAGTCATCGAATTTATTAATATGTAATATCATACACCACTTTTTTAACGATCGTTATAAAAAGTGACGCAATGCATGACGTAACAAATGGAATCTCTTATGTGGCATATTATTGTCGTTAATGGAAGATAACTCGTGAACTTGTTACCGACGCGGACAGAGGCGTTTTCTTAAATCACGTTTTTTACACTTCATAAAAAAAAGAAACAAAAATTAAAGGACCAATACCATCCACAACAGACGAAATCATTCATGATTTGGAATCTGTGGCTTGAGAAGATTTAGTTTAGGAATTATGTTGCTCTGCCAGGCCTGGCAGAGCCGAGCCTCTCATATGAGGTGGGATCCCGTCTCATTAAAAAATCATTCCAACAATATCATCCCCACCCCTTTTTGTGTGTGTTTGGTGAACCCCTGTACACCAAGCTTCATCATAGTTTAGACATCTTTATATTGCCTTCAATTTATTTTGTATCCATTTGTGCAGACAGTGTTTTACAAAAGATGAATATTAAGGCCCTGTTTGGGAGGNCCATATTTATTGAGGCCCTGTTTGGGAAGGATTCTAAAAATTCTACAGTAAATCAATTCTCATTTACAGTCACATATTTTTCAATAAAATAATATTTTACATCACATCAATAATTTTTTCTTTTTTTTCAACCACACATTTCCCATCATATTACTATTCAAAATCAATTCTTCCTCCAAAAATCTCTCCCAAACAAGCTCTAAGCTTGTTGCGTTTAAAATCCCAAAAGTTGAGCAACAAGGATTCACATCAATTTTCTTGAAATTTCATTGTAGGTCGGTGGTATATTTTCAATTTCCCCTTCAGCGCCGATTTTTCATTTTGACACTTTTCTTTTTCTTCCCTCCCAACTCCGCCTCAAACGCGAAAAGTTTTGAAATGATCGGCCTTTCGTTCAACGCATTCATGACTTCATTGTTTCATTCTTCATATTATACATGAAGTAGTACCTCGTTATTTACTGCTTTCGTCTTTTTATGTTTTGAAGTCATTTGAGAATCATTTATGTTTTTACCAAAATCATTATCAGTATATCCTACAAACTTGCTGGGAACATTTGCTTCTTAAAGAACGCCATAGCTTTATTCATTTAACATATATTAAAGAGTAATGTTATTCATCCCCAGTGGGGATGAAAACACTGTTTATGTGGCGTTAAATGATAGGTGAAATGAAATGACTTATTTAATTTCACCTATCATTTAATGCCACATTAACGTCACCTAAACTGTGTTTTCATCCCCAGTGGGGATAAATAGCATTACTCTATATTAAAACTCTTTTTCTTGCCTCCTAAAAATTTGAACAAGATTATTATCCACAAATCTACTAATCAAACTCACTAGAAAACAAAATATGAGGTCTTGTGGCTGTTAAATATATCAAATCTCTGGTCAAGCTTTGAAATATTATTGATTGACTAACATTTCTTCACATTCGGTGCTTAACTGTAAACTCGTTGAGATGTGAAATAGTTACTGATAGAGTAATTTCAAAACATAATCTTCTCATTTGATTGCAAATTTTATGTTTTATAAAACGGGTTAGATGTATAGCTCATAATGATACTACGGTTAAGCTCGGTTGAGGACCGACGGGATTGATATGATACCACTTGTTAAGAATTATGTATTTCTCCGATCCACTTACTGTAATTCAGAATTGAAATATCGAAATTGCACGGCAAAATATGAAGTATATGATCGTAAGTAAAAGAATAATAAAAGATAAGAAATATGACAGAGAAATTTGGAGATTTTATTGACTCATGAACAATAATGGATAAATATACAATTGATCTGAAATTCTAGTAATCACCAAAACTAAACTATTGTATATTCTCAAAACCTCTCTCAAGATGTTGTTGAATATATATTTTTGTGAAAATACAATTTGGAATATATATATATGAATCTCTTTTCGGAGTTTTAGACGAAGAAGACATAAAATCCGAAAAAAAGGAAATTAAAACACCACGGTGGTGCCTCAGCACCACCATTCGGGCCCACTGGCGCTGGGGTCGGCGCTGCGACGCTTGGGACAAAAAACAGGCAGGGGCGTCGGCGCCATGCTCGACACCGCAGCGCTGGGTGTTCTGCCCATTTTTTTTTTTCTGCTTCTTTTTTTTTCACTCAAAGTTGTTTTTTTCATCTCAAAGTCATTTTCCAAACTCCCACATGGCTTCCAAATAGAATTTCAACTTGAATAAGACTCCAATAGCATTCCAAATTGAATTCCTCTTTACATGCACTTCAATTAGAATTCTTCACTTCAACAAGAAATTTAGGTCACACCCAAATTCTAATAATTTCCACATTGACACGAATTTCATTGCAATGAACAAAGCTCCAAAATTTTCTCCACTTGGAAAAGAAAATTCGTCTGCAACGAAGGAACCGAACTCTTCAATAATAACTAAAACTGATTTCTCCAACAAACACAAAATACTTTACATCTTCCAATGAATCCAAGCACTACTTTGTAGAATTACCTCAAATTCACAAAAAAAATCATAAAGATTTTAAAATTTACCAACTAGGGTTGTAACACACTCTAAAGTAGAGTCAATCCCAAATGCTTTTACAGATGGCCCCTTGCTAAATTGTTCACTTTCTACTACACTCAAAGCAGGCCCAACAAAATTAGCATTCAAATACCTTTCTTCACTTGCTCCATCCCTAGCAATTGAATACAATAGCACCGCATGTGATGGTGGAAAAACGACATTATCCATATCTTCTGAACTCAACTGAGCAGTATTCTTTTAGCATTCAAATACCTTTCTTCACTGGATCTATCCCTAGCAATTGAATACAATAGCACCGCATGTGATGGTGGCAAAACGACATTATCCATATCTTCTGAATTCAACTGAGCAGTATTCTTCAAATTCGACCACATACAAAAACCGAAGGTACTGCACCGAACTGAATGTCCACCACGGTACTGAATTTATGCAGATTGACTCTTCTAGATTCTGCACAACCCTACAAGATGTATAACTAAGACCTTTTCTATCCCTCCAATACAACCTGGACACCCTTGCAAACCTTCAATACTCTACCTTCATCAAAGAACTCGTAACCCTTTGAATCAAAGGATAGACAATTGGACAAGATTCTTCTTCAAATCTGGAACATGTCGAATTCGGTCAAGTGTTCTAATTGTCTCATCCATTAACTTCAATACGACCTTACCAATTTCAGCAATCTGACAAGGTACTTAGTTTTCCATAACTACGACACATTTGGAAACTGTTTCATATATAGTAAACAATTTCTTATTAGGACACATATGAAACACACATGCTGAATCCAGAATCCAACCCTCCTTTGGTTTAGACTCGATATCAGAAACACCCAAAAGATCTCCCTTATTTACATGGTTCTATGCGAGGTCTGCTTTGCCTCATGTATCTGATCGTTTACCATTCCGATTTGCAGCCAATCTTACTTTATTCTGCAATTTGTAGCAATCCTTTTTAATGTGCCCCATCTTTTTGCAAAAGTTACAAATTTGATTTTTGAACTTAGACTTCGATCTGCTCTTTACAGAACCACTATGAACAACAAGACCTTCTCCATCTCTGGCCTCAGAAACCATATGCTTCATCTTCTCTTTTGAAAACAAATTATCATACACCTCCTCTATGATGAGAGTATCAAGACTATACAAGAT